CAAACCCTGAAACAACCTTTTGGCTGATCTAAGTCAAGACGTGGCTAATTCACACATCAAACCCTGAAACAACCTTTTGGCTGATCTAAGTCAAGGCATGGCTGAAGTCACAGATCGAACCCTGGAACAACCTCTGGGCTGATCWAAGTCAAGGCATGGCTAACTCACAGATTGAAACCTGTAACAACCTTTGGGCAGATCTAAGTCTGGGCATAGCTAACTCACAGATCGAACCTTGAAATAACCTCTGGGATGATTTTCGTCAGGGCATGGCTAACTCACAGTTCGAATTGGAATTTAGCTTGTTGTAGTGAAAGGGAAATATATGGGAGAATATGGAGAAAAATCCTCAAATCCTCTGTTCACATGTAATACCAAGAATTAAACCTGAGACCTCAGAGATAACTGCACTACTGCTCACCACCCTTGTTTACTTTTTTCATAGATGAGTTTGCTTGATGAAAATTTAAAGGAATCGCAAATTTTGCTTGTTCTTGCAACCATGGTTCCCAAAGCAAAATACAAAACTCGGATATTTTTAGCTCTATTCAGAAATAATCGATTTTTCTCTCTCGCAAATCGCTACATTTTATCTAATCACCAATAAAATACCTAGTTTGAAGTAAAATAACCCTCCATCACTTCAAACTCCACATCTTTCGATTCAAACGCATGCAGGGTGGCCATTTTGTTTAGCTTTGTTTGGTGTATTTCCCGGTGTATTTAAAAAATAACTCATTAAAAACAACAAGTTCTTTACTAAACCAAAGATAATAAGACTAATATATCGAAATCTGCAGAGTACACGCAATTTGGATACAAGAAACCACAAATTTATCGATATTAAAGGGAATAGTCGTAGAATATTGATGTATTTCTCCCAGGGTTCTCGCTTACCTGTCATTAGAAGGATAAGTATTTTGAGTCGTCAAAGGCCAAGGCATTCCTTGTGCGGCCATTTCAAGACGCTAAAACTTCTTCCACTGGTCAAACTTGAGCTTGAAGATTAAAAATGAGCGTTATTTTATAGAAAGGGTTGTTAAAAARACGTTTTTTTTGAGGTGAAAGAGCAGAGTTCCACGAGAAGCTGAAGAAAACACGTGCGAATCTGACCTCTCATGCGCTACTCCGCTGACTGACGCAAACAAGATGTCAGGGCTCAGGTTACTCTTTCAATCCCAGGTAAACATGCGGGCATGGAGTAGCAATAGAGGTTTTTTTTATTTCTTTTCTTTGGAAAAATTAGTTATCTTGGAACATTTTGTTTATTACAGAGCCCTGCGGTTATTCCTGTGACTATTTTTTGGCATCAAAATAAGAAGAAGAAAAAGAAGAAGTAGCTAGAAGAAGAAAAAGAAGAACAAGAAAAATAAAAGAAGCCGATAGTTCGGAGCAGGAGCAGGAGCAGGAGCAGGAGCAGGAGCAGGAGCAGGAGCAGGTGTAGGAGAAATTAGGAGAACTGAGGAGAAGGACAAGGAGGACAACGACAAGGGCAAGTTGAAGGAGAAGGAAAAGAAGCAACCGAATTTTTTTAAAGCTGCTACTAAATAATGCACATCAGCAAAACGGTGTTTTTTATTTTTACTGTTTAAATTTGTAATCGCATCCATCCAATCACGTGCCCATGATCATTAATATGTAAACAATGGCAACGCCTCTGTTGACATACATATATCAATTACAAAGGCCACATTGGTCGATAGGTCAGTCGGAGGTTCTAATTTGTGCCACAAGGAAAGACTTTTCGCTCGCCTGATTTGTGATACTTACATCAATCAAAAGATCAAGATCCAAATTTATCATGGATGGACCTCAGTAAGTCGTTTACGAATTCTTAAAACTTTAATGCCATGATGAATATAAGGTACAATCATGTAATAATACCAAGCTCAAGCGAATTCAAGCATAAACAGTTCGGTTCAATGCAACATAAGTACCAGAGAAATTTTAACTTTTTTATTGTGTTGTCAATCGTCAGTTTTTGTGACATAACCTCTTTTCATAAAACATTAATAAGAGGCGCCGAAACCTTAGCGTAAAAGATTAAAAAGCAAACGGATAAGCAGTTAATAACAAGTCCCAGATGCCCGCAATGAATATTCAAAAGTTGACAACAATGACTCGGCGATTTTGAACMCTCAAAAATCATTTATAGACAACGAAGCATAAAGAGAAATCAATTGTACTGTAAGCTAGTTAACTAAGTGACCATACTACTTGTATGAAATTAGTTCTCTCTTGGGAAGGCATCTCAGTGGAATTCTTCCCCAGAAAGGGCCTTCAGTTAATATCTCTCTTAAGTATATGCACGCTTGTCAAGTTCGTAAACAGAACTTAGCGCTTCGTATTGTATTAATAACTCTCAAAGCGGGCACCTTGTGGTGTAATACCCGGTGGAATAACATGAAAAAAATCATTCAGCACTTTCCATAGAAATGTCTATATTCTGAGAATTTCTTAGTTAGATTTAATTTAATTTGACTACCACTAGCGAGGTCAGAGTACTCAGGACCACTTTTATTTGGTTTTGCAGTCGCTATAAATTTGTGTCGTCACGCAACGCAGGAGACTAATGTTATTGTTGCGTAACCAAAGATTTTGGAAAATTGTAATCAGAACAAAGACCGAACTATAAATGGTGGAATGTATGTGGCTTGTCGAGAGTAAAATTTTTTGATTTCGACAGTTTTCGACAGAGACAAAATATAGTTGATAAATATAGACCTGAGTATTTTTGGTGTGTTTTTTAGATGTTTACTTATAAGTGATGAGAAAAGCAAGATAGTACTTAACAAATGCTTCAATGGGATCGTCAAAACCGTGGAGCCCYCTGTCCTGTCAACCATCACGTTCAATATCAATGGAATCAAGTACACAGTTGACAATCCTGATGCTAACACTAGCTTGAATGAGTTCATTCGAAACCAACCAGGCTTGAAAGGTAAATGCTGGAAATGTCGCTCCATGATAGAAGGAGTAGGAGTAGGAGAAGGAGAAAACGGAGAATTAAGGAGAAGCAGGAGAAGGAGTAGAGGGAGAAGGAGGAGGAGGAGAAGGGGAGGCGAGGAAGAGCAGAAGGTGGAGTAGGGGAGGAGAAGGAGGAGGAGGAGGGGAAGGAGTAAGAAAAGAAGGAGGAAAGGGAAAAGGAGAACAATGTGGCTTCTTATACCGACCCAGATGCTGAAACAAGCTAGAATAAGTTCATCCAAAACCAACCGGATTCGAAAGATAAATGTTGCTTCATGGCCGAAATAGAAAGGGCAAGAAGGAGAGAATCGGAAAAGAATGGGAAGGAAGTAAAATCTAAACCTATCATCACCATAAAGGAATTAATTTGTATCCAGTTGGGCTTTGAAACGGAAGCCTTATAAGCCAGGAAAATCATGARTTCCATGCACTCTTATTATTGTTCTTACCAGGTACCAAGGTCATGTGCCATGAAGGTGGATGTGGTTGCTGCGTGGTGGCGCTAGCAAGAACTGATTCAGTGACAGGCAAAAAAGTTACCTTATCAGTTAACTCGGTAAGTTGTTCTGCGTGCCTATGGAATACATACTCCGGTTTCAAGCATCCCAACTTTCGATGCTATCTCTTTGGTCCAAGGTTGTCCTTGTGAAATTGTGACTATAAAAAATAGGRTATGATAATGTGCAGGGCACGAAATTAACGCTCGCAAACTCGCAAAATGCGGGTGAAATTTGGATTTAGCGAGTGACAAAAAATTTAACTAGCTAAGTTTTTGACCACAGACCAGAAATTGAAGGACTGAAAAATTTAGAACCCGCATCAAGTAACGTTTGTTATTCACCACGTCCAATCGCTAGTGAGTTTGAAATTTTTGCTAATGAGAAAACTTACTGAAGGTTTTGCTAGTGGGCTTAAAAGTTTAAAAGTTAAAAACCATGAGTGCCCTGAAGTGGTGCAATGGATATACGAGGATTGAGATCTTAAAAGCGTCGAAAATGATAAGATTGATGAAGATATTTGTTTTTTTCTTAGTGTCTTTTTCCATTGTATGCTGCTGATGGTTGTGACGTGACAACAACTGAAGGCATTGGAAAGTAAGTCTGCAAACTGGACTTGAACAATACACCAGTTTCGCATTCAATGCATGCCGCTGTTTTTGAAGACCGCAGACTCATTTGCACAGGCTTAGCCTCGTTTATAAGTCAATGTTCACAGATATCATTAAAAGTCCGTGGGATTTCAAAACATTGATATTGTTCAAGCTGCACATTCTTTACAGTTGGCTTTGCAAATGGTTTGCTTTAAACGAGGCTAAACCTATACAAATGAGTCTATAGTTATAAAACACAGCGGTATTTAAAGTACGACGAAAGGGACTATTAGCACTTACTTTGACCTTAATAAACTGAGAACATGTTCACATAAAATGCTTCTTCTTCCACTGCTTAACTGCTGAACAATGCCTYTTCTTGTTCTTAGTCGTAAGCATGGATTTCATGCCATTCACAAGAGAGTTGCAGAGCATAATGCCAGTCAGTGTGGATTCTGTACACCTGGGATGGTYATGAACATGTACAGGTAGGGATACTCTCATTACTATATAGCACTAGGCAGCACGCATTTGTACATGTTAGCCATCTCGTAGAGCTCTATTCTCATCATTACCTTTGTTGCCGTTAAGATCCTGTTACACGTTGAAACTCTTAGCTGAAATATGTGCGTGCAACGGCGTCGCGAGACAAGTTTCAGGACGAAATTGCGCTGTGTTACACCTGTCTTGAGACTTTCTTCGACATGCCCCAGTGAACAATCCAAACAGAGTCCAACATTCCCTGTGTGCAGGCAACATAAACATGGCAGATGATAGTGGTTTGACGAAAATATTGCGCCGTGTAACACCCCCGTTAAGCATGTCGCAACGCTGTTGCACACAAGTTTCAGCTAAATGTTTCAACGTGTAACAGGGCCTTTATGTTTTGTTGCTTTTTCTTTTCTCGTAGTCTTCTGAAAGAATGTCCAAAGCCCACCAAACAACAGATTGAGGATAACTTTGACGGCAACATTTGTCGTTGCACAGGTAAATGTTGTCACTCAGTTGACTAGTGTTCTTATTTACTGTTATCTGTAAAACTGCAGCTTTTTATCTTGCGGACAACGCAAATTTAATTGTTTGTTGGGTTGCGAGCCCGAGAGGAAATTGCAGCGTATATGCAGTAAAAACAATGATACAGAAAGCTCAAATGGTTTAGTTCTTCTGCAACATCGGGACATGAAAGACACTGCAGTCTTTACCACGAGTGAAGTGATCTATAATTGTTTTGCCAGTGCAATAAAAATTGCAGCGTGTATGAGTACGTCTCTTTCGTAGTACCAGACATCTTGGCCGCCATGACTTTGTTATTTTTCTATTTMTTGTGAATGATTGCAAACCATGTCTATGTTTGAAGGAGCGTGCTGTTTTATGCTGCAGCAAAAGCTAAAAATTTTCAGCATTAGAAAGTGTGTCTTGTCTTTAGGTTATCGTCCCATTTTGGATGCTATGAAATCCTTTGCTGCTGATGCAAATCCAATCGACATTGAGGTAACTTCTCTTAGAGCACTGTTATATTTGGCTTCCTTTAGGGCGAACGCCATTTAGAACCTTTGTTCATAAAACATATTTTCCCCAGGAGCTGAGCAAGTGTTCTGGTAAGTGTGATGACTGCCTGTGCAAAAGACAAGGTGCTGTACCGGCAAACGATTCTGGTGTCAAGTGGTACGCTCCTAAGAACCTAGCAGAACTGTACACCATCTTGGATAACAATGGTAAAGAGAGTATTAAACTGGTTGCTGGAAACAGTGGGAAAGGTAAACAGTAAAGATAAACTCGTTCTTCCATGTATCTATCCATGCTTTCATCCATCCGTTCGTCCGTCCGCGAGTGCATTCGAATAATGCATTGATCCATTCATGTATCGAGTAAGCAATGCATGCATTGATGCATCCGTTCGTCCATTAGTGCATTCATCTATTCATGCATTCATGGTTCCAACTATGCATCCAACCACTTATCCGTTCGTCCATTTATTCATGCATTCCTGCATCCATCTATGTATCCAACCACTCATCCGTTCGTCCATCCATTCATGCATTCCTGCATCCATCTATGTATCCAACCACT